TAGGGGGCCCACGTAATTTGCGTTGGCGGCGGTGTTGAATAGGTGTGGGAAGTGCCCCTTTTTGAAATTATTGCCCAAGCCGAAAGCCTTGGGCAACTTGGACAGTGCCATGGGGAAATAATTTAGGCTGTCCAGGAACTTTACGTTCCCCACGACCATGGAAATTATTTTGGTACCCCGCATGATGAGTTCGGGGGTGAGGTCCGTCTGTGTCAGGATGTAATTCAGGCAGAACTGGTGGTCGAAAGCCTGACCGTTGTGAGCCATAACCACCACCTGCTTGAATTTCTTCCTCATGACGAGGAGGTGGTGGAGGAACGGCGAAATGGGGTCATTGCACCTTAAAATCTGCAGTCTAACCCCGCATTTACTACATATTTTCTGCTGCGGCGTGTTGAGGCATGTGTCGCAGCATTGCTTGAATACACAGAGATTTGGTTCGTGCAGGTGTGACCCGTCCGACCTCTCCTTCTCTTGTCGCGTCTCCAAGTCGTAGAAGACGAAGAGAAGGCCGTCGGTTTTAGGCTTCCCTGTGTTGGGTTGCATGTAGCACAGGTGGTCTGCGGGGACGTGTACGTTGCATATCTTGCAATATATTTCCCCGCAGATATGGGTTCTGCCCCTTTTTACCACCTTGAGACAGTCGGGGCAACGGCGAATCTGCTCGCAAACCGAGCTCTTTTCCTTTGATCCTTGGCTCCTATGATTGTCGTAGCATTGCCGGCCTCTGAAGCTACGCTGACAATCGGTACAGGTTACTGCGATGTCTTCCGGGCATGCGGGTGACTTCTGGCACGCCGGACATGTGCCACCACACCTGTGATCTTTTTTAGTATTATATGGCACTTGGCACCTCTCGCAGTAATAATCACAGCAGAAGGCCGACGTTAGTGACGTGATAACATTATAGTGGCCCTCGTGATAAATCAAATTTAACGACGGGCCCTCTGTGCAGCCCTTAAATATCACGTCGCGACCTTTGCTGCCGTACTGGTACACGACGATGCGGTAGTTGGTGAGATACCGCTGGAACTCCTGCAGCTCAAGGATACCGCAACCTTCTTCGGGGATGGTAACCCCCGACACCCGTATCAGGTCTTGAGCTCTTTGTGTCTGGATCTTTCCGATATCGCGACGGACCTTTCTATACTCGGCGTCCTTGGTCACTTGTGCAATGGCGACGACGAGGGCGCGCGGCAAACACAAATTGTCTTTATTGTTTATTGCGACAATACCACGTCTCATGCCGCACTCCTCGTCGAATGTGTTATACTTTTCGCCACGCCCTTTCCCTACGGGCATCTTCACCGAGGTCACGCCCAGACAGAACGTCTCGGTGTTTAGCCCTGCGGAGTTGGATTGATAGACGCTGGAGATGACGTCCCACACGTCGTCGTAGGTAACTTCTTTAGCTGGTTTGAAGCGGACCCAGCCATCACCTCTGGCAAAGTCCTTCGAACAAAATGAAAAAGACACCTGGTCTTCGGGGTTAAGACCTTCGGCGCCTTTAGCTACGGCCTGCTGGATAGCCTCTTTAACCCACCCTACGGGTTCTTCACCGACGGGCACCGGCTTGATTTTAAACTCCAAGGTACGCCCCATCAAATTGAAGCGGCGGACCATGCGGATTGTGTCTTTGACGATCGAAAATTTAGACATCTTGAATAGCGTAGAGTACGAGAAGAAGAAAACTGTGATCTTAACACTTCAAAGATAAGCGGGCTAGAAGATCGCACGGGGGCGCGTAGTTATTACCTTTCAGGTAACCGGTGTCGGTGAGATATAATTTTGAGCCTGAAAAGAGGTCACGTGATTAAGATGTGTTTGATTAAGAAAAATAGGGCGTATATTCTCACAAAAAGTATAAGACAAAAAATTTTGAAAGTGAGTAAAACGAAAAGATAGTGGGTGCTTTCTACCTACTACGGGGCAAGCATATCATCGATCGCGAACAAATGAAAAAATATCAATGAA